ATAATTATTGTTAACATCAGGTTCACACAGTCATAATATCTTTATTTTTCAGGAAAAAATGTCATCCTCTTTACCAATGTATTAGAATTTTATTTAACAGCCATATATCAAACATCTGCCTTTAAAGAAGTTGGTTTTCATTTTATAAGCTAAGTGATATATAGTAATTGACTGAATAAAATAAAATAAAATTTTAAAATGAAGTTGGTTGTATCAGCTCCATTAAAAGGACCTGGATTAAGATTGGAGTGAGTTGTTAACAAAGACATGATAGGTAGAGTAAAAAACCACAAGAACATCACCCTATGATATACTCACTCTTTCACACACACAAAATGCACAACCTCCAGTCCTCTGCTGCATTTCATGACATGCACCTTTTTGGGGAGCCTTAAAGTTGATGAGAATTTGATATTACCTATAAAATACAGCTTCTAATAGTCACACAAGAGAAGTAAAGAGAAGCAGAGAGCACGACAAAGTTCTCTAGGCAACCTGGAAGCCATATTGGTGCTATACGGCACAGAGGGTCTGAGGCATAAAATGTCAAGCAGATCAGTGAGTGGAGGCAAGAAAGTGGTATGTTGGGAAACCACAGTAACAGTCGAGTCCTCTTAGATGCACAGTGTGTGCTGGGATGGCCATAGCTGCCCCCTTGCTGCTTCATGTCTACTGCTGCTCACCCCAAAATACACTCCACATTTGGGGACTGTGTTCTTCCTGAGCTTAACTTCTCTTCCAAGAGGTCATACTCACTGCCTAATATCGGTGTCTCTAAAGAGCTAGTCTGACATCTTGCTGAGATTTAAGTTGACTCTTCCTCCTTTTTCATCTCTCTTTCCATTAGTTAAATTTGCACTGACCTCTCTACTCCGTCCTTGAAACAGCCTCACAAAATATGACAGCAAGCCCTGTGAGGAGTCCACTGCGAGCCCACCCAGACTTCTGATATTTACTCTGTATCGGGTATTTCCTATTTGTGAGTATAAAAAGCTTGTTTCAAAAAAAAATTATATCAGTTCAGGCCATGGCTGTTCTATTGGGAAGATCATGGGTAGAATGCCCAAGAAGTAGAACAGTGACAGAGAGACTACAATTTACAAAAACTGAGCAGTATTTCAAGTAGGATTATTCATCATTCTTGACAAAAACAATATCATAATACAGATATTGGTGTGATCACCAACATCACCAACAAATTAGAGAAGGAAATAGGTATTCTTCATATCCACTTCATGCTGATTCTGAGGTGGGTCACAGTGCCAGACTGAGGGTCTGCCTGTCTGTGGAGGCCAGTCCAGGGGTTGAGGCTTCCCATTGAGACACTCCACAGCCCAGAAACCACAGCAGTGACCACAGAGTAAGTCTGTAGACCTGACACAGAAATGTCCAGTCCCAGTGCCTCTCTTTGCCTCTTAGTGCAAATGGTAATGTCAAATATGGTAATTGGGATGTGAGGGCTAACGGCCTTCTTTGGGTTCCTGTAATTCCTGGCTTGAGGTTGCATTGCCTGTGAACTAACTCTCTATGTTGTTCCTAAATTGTTCACTGAACTAGGTCAACTTCCGTCTCAGAGCCTCTGCACTGCAGAAGTTCACCTGGCTCACACTCCAGTTCCAGAGCCTCAGTTAGTATTTTGCCTTGTCATTGAGGTCTCTCCTGATTTCCAAATTTAAAATTGCTACATGTTCCCATTCCACTTGCAATCCCTCTTCTCTTTTAAGTTTTCTCTATCAAATTTAATACCTTCTCACATTCAGTATATTTTATTCATTTTCTGTGGTTATTAGCCTCCCAACACTAGAATGTAAACTTAATTTTTTTGCAGGACCTGACTCTGTTAATTGCTGCAATAGAGTCAGTCCTGCCAGTTTTTTGTTTAAATTCACAGATTAATAATCAGAGATTTTTAAAAAATATCTTGTTCTGAGATATACTTCTTGTTCTGACCAATGACATCAGAACCAGGGCCTTGTACTGAAAAGAGATCCGTGGAGAGAGGGGTGGGATATCCTGGGAGGTAGAGGTGAAGAACCATGGCACACTAAGCTCTGGAGCAGAAGCTGGGCCTGGAACCTTGGTGAGGAGAAGAGAGGACAGCTGCATGGGTCCTGCAGAGTCTGGGCGTCTGGTTGGACCTGAATGTCCATTGTGGATTCCCTTACCTAGTGCCTGGTCCCTGCGGTGAACCTCTTAGGCCTCCTGATGTTTAATTATAAGACTATGTATCATCTTGTAAAATATTGTCATAAATGGTTTAAATAAAGGTGTCATAAAGAATAAAGACACACACACATGTATATGTAATTATTAGTCATTTAGGTGGTGGAATAATTTATCTTGTATGTTATGTAACATATATTTTATATATTCTTGCATATTATATGTATTATCATACATAAATTTATATTATATATTATTTATACATCTTAAGAAAGACATGAATATAATATATACGTGTAGATAATTTGTATATTTGATACACTATATACTGTATCATAGAATACCTCTTGTTCTGCAATATATACTGCCAGTATTTCATTATTTCCATATGTATTTTTTGCCGTAGGATGGGCGCCACTATGCCCTCCATAAGTATTTTTAAATACATCTTCAAAAAGTATATATTAAAGTGTCTGCTTGCCATGAGTGACCTGATATACAGGTTTATGTATAGAGTATAGAGATATTTGGAGAAAATTCGAATGCAGAGTAATCTCTATGATTCATAAGGCAGCACCCTTGGAGGCTGAGACATCTGCCTCACCTGCACAGCCATAATCCTGAGTTCCCACAGGTGCACCAGCCAGCCAATGTCTGTCATCAGCCTTGACACTTGCCTATCCCTGTTAGCATTCAGAAAACCCTGGCTCACAGCCAGACAACATAAATGAAGATCTTTCTCTGGAGCCTGTTCTTTTCTGCCATTGCTCACACAAGTGCTTTGGTCCAGACTATGGCATTTAGCCAGGGCAAGTGTTCTAGATTGAGGTCCACTGTGAGGAGACACTGTCTTCCCTATTGTCTCAGAGCTTCTGTTAGCCAATGACATCCTCTGACAGTCCACAGCATCCACCCCAGGGCCAGGCCATGGCTCAGGCTGACAACCAGCCATTCCAGACACCCAGCCAGCTGGAAATGCCCAAGTCCAGGGGACTCAAGAGATCAGGCTGTGGGCTACACCCTATGAGCTGCTACAGGGGTTGGCTCTGAATGACAGTTCAACAACTCCTAGCCCTTCTTTATTGGTAGTGGAGCCTGTCAAAGCTGCATATGGCTGGGAGCCCATTCTTAGCTCTGCAGCTTCTGGCCATGTGATCCCTCCTGATGGATGTATTGATGGAGCTGGTGCTTATGGAGATATGTTCTCCTTGTCATCTTTCCTTCCTAACTGGTTTCCAGTATGTCAGGATTTGTCTGAGATTGTGCAACCTTCAGGGCCCATGATATGTCAGGTGAAAGACTAAGTCAGCATTGGGGGTAGTGGCAGGAAAGGAATAGTGCCTATGTCCTTGAAACTCTCACTGAGCCACTGAGCAACCTGGAGCTGCTTGCCTTTCCCTTGGAAAGAAAAACAAAAACAAAAACAACAAACCACCAAACCTTCCTTAAACCTTGTAGTTGAAGTGAACTTTGTCAGGTATCCTGTTATGCAGTCACTTTCAGCTAAAAGCCTCCCAATTCATGCAACAGCGTTACTTCTGTGTGATCCAGCTTTCCTAAGTGTTTCATGTATCTTAACTCACTCCACAGAACAACCCCATAATTTAATTCTTTGATGAATACTTAATTTTACAGATGCTTAGACTGGGAGTAGAATGGTTAGTAAACTGTCCAAGGTCATGTAGGGAAGAAGTAATAAATCAAGGATCCAACCATGGGTAGTCTGGCCAAGGGTGCCTGTTTCAGCTCCACCACATGCAAATAGTAAAAAGAAAGGCCACTCAGAGGATCTAATTATGCCCCCACAGCCTGGATTGCACAGAGCAGCTGAGGCCTGCACTGGTGCCTAAATCGCAGCCACCAAGATCACAATGAGAGAGTTCAGGGAGACAGAGGGCTATGGCTAAAATGGGAAAAGCAGGATGTCTCCGTCATGCATTCCAATGCTGCACTTCTTCTGAGTGTGACACCTGGGACTAAGGCTACAGTGTCTGATGCAACTGTGCTCATGGGGACACAGTTCCCTGAGCATGAGCAAGGCCCAGCTGGGACTTGAAGGCTACTCCTACCAGCTTATCTAAAGACTCCAATCTAAAGACTCCAAATGCTTTTGTGAATTCCAGTGGATAGAGGCTGCACTGGGACCCTCTGACTTTCCCCAAGGCCCACTAGGATGTTCCTGCCTTGGGTCCCTGATCAGACTCTGAAAGTCTCAATTCATGCTAAAACAGATTGGTTTTATTTCCTTTGGGGACTACAACGGTACTTTGGCAGAATGCAGAGGTTTAACTAAAGCAGAGTTATATCTAGAAGCATGTGCAAATGTTTGACATTGATGTCTATTTGTAGCCTTCCACCCCAGTCTTATCTTCCCATGGTTTGTCCCAGTGTCCACTCCTAGTGACACAAGAGAGTTTCAGTGATCATACATGTGTGGTTGAATTTTTAGTAATTGTTAAGTGAGTGAAATGGGTCTGTTCAATAAAAATGCCATATTTTGGGAAAGACAACAGGTTTTCCTTGCAAGGTAATGGTATAATGAATGTGGAAAGTTAAAGCTAAAGATCATTGTCTTGGATAACACATGGAGATTTTCTTTCAGAATGAATGGAGTCAAAACAAAAGCATCATTAAAAAGACAAAGAAGTAGAGAGAGAACTAAGCAGCATCATTTGAGTTTTCATTTCAATTGAGGCACAGGCTGTTTTATTCAATGAAATTCCTAGAATTTAAAGTTAGTCTTCATTTAAAGAGATGAATATAGGATTTTGGTGATTGCATCCCAAAGAGTACTGTGCATGACATTTTCAAGCATGAAAGAAGAGCCAACACAGAGATCTTGCTACAAGGAATTTATTTGAGATGGAGAAAGGAAATTGCAGAGGCACAGGAGTAAGATCAGTTTCCTTCTAGGTCACAAAGCAAATTTTGAACTCATGTTGCTCTCTTCTTGATGTTCAGCGGCAGCAGAGGTAGTAGAATCTGTTATTGATCTTGCAGTTTCCACTGAGGCGTTCTGAACCGATACAGTATCCACTTCTACAATAGCAGGTCAAAGTACTCCTTAAACCTGAGGACATAGGGAAAGCATCAGTCATTGAGTACTGGGTCAGCGTTAGGTGGTAAAGAGAATCCTAGGGAAGTTGTGTTGGCTTGACTGGGTTTGTCATGTTGTCACCAGCATAATAAACCCCAATTAATATGAATGTATATCTATATAAACATACAGATATAGATCTATATATATATAGCTATATGGCAAGTGTTGATCATACACAGGGAGACTTTGTCCTTTGTCTTCACTTTTTTTTGTGCTACTGCTCCCATCATGTGTACATCTCAACACACATTTAGGCCCATCCAGATTCTAAAAGCTCTTAAACAGAGTAAACTCCCTTTAGCTGAATTTATCATTTTGTGTCCAGAAGCAATGGCATGTCTCTAATCTAAAATCTAGTGAATTTCACCAAAACATCATAGAATCAGAAGTCTTGGATAAAGGGAATATATTAGGACATTTTGGCTCACACCATTTAATTTATAGATGATAAAATAAAGGTCCAGGGATCTTTAATAAAGTAACCTATATGATATAGGCTGTTATAGACTTGAAACTGTCTCCTGTCCTTCTCTAAATTCTGTAACTCTGCCATGTTGGTGACTCTCACCTGCAGCTCTAAGAGCAGAACTTTCTTCTCCTGCGAAGTCAACAGGCACATCCTGGTCCTCTGCCCCGAACTGTTCCTGGTCCAGAGCCTCCTCAGTTCTTGCTGGAAGGGGGTCAGCCTGGGCCTGGATGGCCACCAGGAAAATGGCAGCAAGTAAGACAAGGACCTTCATGACTAGATGTCACCCGGAGGATGGGAGAGCAGGATCCTGAGTATGTGACAAGTGAGAAGTCAGCCCGTATTTATAGGTCTGCTGAAGACAATGGATGCAGTTAGAAAAGGTATGGGGAGGGTGGGGGCTGCCTTTCTCCTCGGATTCCTTTGATGCCCTCTGTTCTCACAGCTTTCATCTCCGCATGAGCTTGTAGGTTTATTGTATGTACTTGGTTCACATAGGTAGTGGTGATGATAGCGGTAATGCTATGTTTTCCTGTTTGCCATCTGCTTCAAAATTTACTTTTTGATATTGAAAAAAAGACAAGAAACAGTGCTTTCAATCAGTAAGTTCGAATGTCTCTAATTTTTCAGAAAATGGGCCCTGCTCTCTCTGAAGCTCTGTACATTGAGGCTAGGCTAAGTCCCAATAGAGTAAAGAGTTTGAATGGCAAAATTCAAGGGGTATTATCCTTATGAAAGGTGTTCTGATATTATGAAATGAGTAATCCAGCTCAGTCTTGTGTGGAGAAGTCATAAACCTCACCAGGTGATAAGTGAAATGAGCCCAGTTGGCTCCTAGGTAAGATCAAAGAATATGAATAGATTCTGTCTTCATTAAGATACGATTAACAATTAGCAATCACACAAATTCAAAGTGTAGAGCATGATGATATGACATATGTGTATGTTTGGAACCTTACCTCACACCACATACAAACATCAGCTCTAAATGAATGGAAGACTTAAACCTAAGACCTGAAACCTATAACTACTAGAAGAAGCCATGAGGGTCAACTTTCTGACTGTGACGCAGTGAGTTCTTGGATAAGATACCAAAAGCACTGGGTACAAAAGCAAAAGTGAACAAGAGGGATTGCATGAAACTAATAAGCTTTTTGATAACAAAAGAAACAATAAACTAGGTAAAAAGCAACGTAGAATATATGAGGAAATATTTACAATTTATAGATATTATAAGTGGTTAAATAGAAATATTAAAGGACTTCAAACATCTCAATAGCAAAATAAAATAAAACAAAAAAACTGACTGAAAAATGAGCATAGATAAAAGATTGTTAAAAAACAAAAAAATTTGACTGAAAAATGAGCATAGATAAAAGATTGTTTTCAGATGTAAGTGTGATCTCTACTGGACAAGCAAAATAGGATGCTGACATTTTGTTTTCTATCTTTAATTGTATCAGAATGCTTGACATAGTCCCTATGAAAGAAAGATATTGTATGTTCCCACTTAATATATAACAACTCTACATTCTCTATGGTAGAGACTGAAGATTGGAGGACATAAAAGCATTGAAAATAGTTATGGACACGAGACAGTGTGGAAGGAGGATGGGAGAGGGGAAGAATATAGGGAAGGAAATTAGGGGGAAGAATAGAGAGGCAAGATATTTGGGGGACACAGTAATGGTTTATTATCTGTTGATGATAACATATGTAGTATTCCCAAATGGACTGATCTGAGGTGTATTTCATGTTGGGTAAATTCTCTTTGCAAGCCAAATGATGTATAGCAATTGAACGTGTAAAAAATAATAAAAAAAGAATAAAATAAAATTTAAAAGACAAAGAAAGAAACTGGGATTTGAATTCAGGCTGTCTGGTTCCAGAGTTTAGTTAACCCTAGGTTTTGTCAGTATCAATTTTGAAGTATAAATTATTTTGCCAGCTATTCTCCTCTACCCTCTCCTTTTATATTTTCTTTAAAATTGAAAATTTCTTCTAGGTTTAGTAGGCAGTGGAGGAGCCAAACTGTCAAAAAGATAATAGTTGCCTATCATTTAATGGGGGCATTGACATTTAAATAGAATTAAGGCTACATTTTCACAGTTTAGTTCTTATTATCCTTCTCTGACAACCATGACTTTGAAAAGTGGACCTGAAACTTTTTATGGTCTCATGTTGTATATCTGTGTATATGTATATATTGCCTTGACATTAGACTTTCAATGTGATACAATTCCCACACTACTGTTCTCTGTATAAAGAGTTTTTCATTTGTGTTATTGACTGTTAGTATGGTTTATATAGCATACTAGTTTAGCAGCAAAACTAAAAAAAAAAAAAAAAAAGCTTGACATACCCTCAATTACCCTTTGA